GAATAGGGTTTTGGGGGCCATTATAGTATGATTAGAATAAGGAAACCCCTAAAATAGTAGAGGTAGTTATTACGGCCACTACAGTAGTGACCTAAACCCTAAACCCTAAACCCTAAACCCTAAACCCTAAACCCTAAACCCTAAACCCTAAACCATAACACTACCGATACCGATGGTAGCTCCGGCAATCACGATATCGGATGCCGAAGACCGGGGTCTCTTCTTCCTACACTTACCTGAAAATAAGGTTAGGGTTTAGGGTTTAGGGTTTAGGGTTTAGGGTTTAGGGTTTAGGGTTTAGGGTTTAGGGTTTAGGGTTTAGGGTTTAGGGATCCCATACCCAGGTTGCCAGAACACTAAGAAACGGCACTTACAACCCTAGTCATCGTGCACCGTGCACCATCGAGGTCCCATGAACCTTGAAACTCCAACGACAGAGCACTTGAGCAATACTTAATATTCGATCAGGATGGGGCGGATTCACTGAATGTTGGGCTTTCCGAATTGTGATCAATGTAAATCAGCCAGGCATCATGCTGCGCAAAGCCTCTTGCAGCAGCTGGATTCGGCAGGAAAAGGGGCAGACATCAGACCGCTGGTGTACTTACGGCCTCTCCGTCCATGGTGACATAATCTTCGACCACGGAGTAAACCCAGACTAGAGCACCTTAAATCCTCCCGCGTTCCCATATAAAACCTATGTCTAAACCCAGACCAGGGGATGCTAAAGAGCATCCTGACGCGACGCTGGAGTGTTTGGGGCTCATGTTCTTGGGGTTTAGGGTTTAGGGTTTAGGGTTTAGGGTTTAGGGTTCCAGCATCTACCGGAAAGCAAACCTCGTCTCTGGCTGATGGATGCCGCTTCGTGCCTGGACCTGAAACCCCCATGCCGTGGCTTGAGTCAAGGAAGGGCTCCTTGAAGGTCTTCAGCGACTTCCTCGTGTAGGGGCCCTGATAATTAAAATGGGGTTTGGAGGTATATTCTACTATAATCATAATAAGGAGCCCCCAAAACCCTATTCTAATCATTAAGGCCCCTATATTATGCATTTAAGATACATGTCCTTTACTTAAATGGTATGGGGCTCTCTGAGGCTACGCCAAAGCACACACACCCCAGCACCAATCCCGTGCCTCCTCACTGAAGCCCAACAGGCCTCCGACCTTCAGCAGCGCATCATGGCCTGCCACGATCCCTACGCCCTAAAACCCAAAATCCAAAACCCTAAACCCCTAAAGCTAACCCAAACCCCTAAACCCTAAACCCTAAAACCCTAAATCCTAAACCCCTAACCCCAAGCCCTAAACCCTAAACCCCTAAACCCCAAACCTGAGAGGCCTGAGGGATAGATCAGGGCCGGGACTGAAATCGAGCTCGGGCTCCGCCCCAGGGACTCCAATACCCCTTAGTTAAGGAAATTAGGGATCCTACTATAATTTAAGGTATATTCCTTAATTAAGGACTATACCTTAAATCTTATCAGGGGTCCTACTATAATTTAAGGTATATTCCTTAGTTAAGGGGCATTGGAGTCTCTGGGACTACACCCTAACCCGGCGCTTTTCCTGAGCCCTGACACCCTAAACGGGTTTCTTTGAAGGGTTTTTTCTGAAGGGTTCTTTCAGGGCACTATAAGTACCTGAACCCTAAACCCTAAACCCTAAACCCTAAACCCTGAACCCTAAAGCCTAAACCCTAAACCCTGAACCCTAAACCCTAAACTAATATAGAGGTCCAAGAATGGGGGTTTGGGGTGTATAATACCATGAATATAATAAGGAACCCCCAAAGCCCTGTTCTAAGTACTAAGGCCCCCATTACAGAGAAGACCTCTGGGCCTAGACCACAACAAGAAACAGCTAACCGGGTTTAGGGTTTAGGGTTTAGGGTTTAGCCGAAACCCTGAACCCGGAAGCTTGCAAAGGTTTTGGAGGGTTTTCATGAACCCCTTAAGAGCCCACCCAAAACGAGCCCACCCAACTATTTGCCGCTGTTTGCTGCTTATTTCCTGCTCTTTGTTGTTTGCTGGGCCCGGGCGAATAGCGACAATTACGGGATATTTAAGGACATTTAGCGGCATCCAGCAGACATTTAAGGACATTTAGTGGCAAATAGCGTCGAATAGCTTGAACAGATGGAACATAGGATTCTATGTTTTTCTAGGGTTGAGGGCTTAGGATACCCGTGTCAATGGCAAAGTCCGACCCTTCATCTTCGCTCAGGTTGGGGGTTAATAATGGCATCCGCTTACAGTGACATGAGCACCTGAAGGTATGCAGGCAAGGGGCAGTCTAGTTATAAGGGAGAATACGGAGCACCTAAAAATAAATAGACGGAGGGAGGATTGGGCAAATAAATTACAAATAAGGAGGAAATAAAGCAGCAAATAAGGGAACGTGAAGGGCAAATAAGGGAAAATAGGGTGCAAATAAGCGAAAATAAAGGGCAAATAAGGGGCAAATAAGGGAAAATAAAGGCAAATAAATGAAAGTAAAGGGCAAATAAGGGCAAATAAGGTGTAAATAAGGGAAAATAAGGGCACAAAAGGCAACTACAGGAACATACATGGCAAATAAGCGCAAATAAAGGAAATATGATGCACATAAGAGAAAATAAAATGCGAATAAGGAAAGAAAAGCTGCAAATAAATGAAAATAAAGGTCAAATGAGGGGCAAGTAAGGTACAAATAAATGAAAATAAAAGGCAAATAAGGGAAAGTACGGTGCAAATAAGGTAAAACAAAGGACAAATAAGGGAGAATAAGGTGCAAATAAGGGCCACATAAAGCAAAATACATGGCAAACAATGGAAAATAAGTGGCAAACAAAGGCAAATGTAAGGCAAGTGTTGCGGGAAACTACGGTGCAGATTTGGGGCAATAAGGGGAAGTAACGGCCAGGAGGACAGGTGAGGTTCAGGAGAAGTACAAGGGGCGAAGACGAGGCGAATAAGGATGAATAAGGGTCGATTACAGGGCAAGTCCAGGCTGTTAAAAGGCCATAGAGGGACGAAGAACGGGCCATGAAGGTGGCGCAACCCTGCGACTTGGGTGGATCAGCTTGATCTAGGGGCATTTAGGCACTAAAAACCACGAAACATCCAGGGACAAATAAGGAACACATACAGGACAAATAGCAGCATTTCCTGCACATTTAAGGGCATTTAAGGGTTTCGAGAAAGACAGCCACTGGCAAATAAGGGCAAATAAGGACGGATTTTGGGTGGGCTCGTTTTGGGAGGGATCTTAAGGGGTTCATGAGGTTTGTCGGTATCTTTGTTTGCTTTAGGGTTTAGGGCTTAGGGTTTAGGGCTTTGTTTTGGTTAGGGTCTAGGGTACGTTATAGGCAGTTATAGGGCTTGAAGTTGTGGCTAGAAGATTTTCATAAAGCTTGGTGGGGTCGCGTATGGGTTTTATTCCTCTGAGGGGGTCCTCTAGACTCTAGATAGACTGTATGGCGATTCCTTGAACCCTAAGCCCTAAACCCTAAACCCTAAACCCCTAGACCCCAAACCCTGAAACCGGAAGACTCCAGACTGCATGGCTTTTCATACGGATTCACGACGCCCGGCCTTTCACCTCTGCCTCCTCTGCCGTCTGTGTGAATTCGATGTTGCCAAGAGCCTGGGCATAAAAAGCTTAGGGTTCGTAGAAGGGTTTCAATGGGTTTAGGGTTTAGGGTTTGGGGTGTAGGGGTTGGGTGTCACGTTGACGCTGATCAGGATTTAAGGATGAAAGGGTCGGTGTTTAGGGATTCAAGGGTTGAGGGCTCGAGAGGTCCAGGGGATTAAGGGCTTTTCGAGATTAGGGTCCCTTTTGGGGTCCCGTTTATAAGGGTGCCGTACTATATTGGGGACACAAAGAAAGGACCCTAGTTTAGAGAACTAGCCATCTGCAGGTGGCATCAAATTGGCCAGGTAGTTCTCTGCATTAGGCTCTCTCTTTTGGATCCCCCCCCAACAAGCTAAGCCACCCTGCTAGCGCGGAGCCTGTGGGGGATCCAAGCTTAGAGGACAACCCCATCTGCAAAGCCATCCTGCATCGTCCGTTTCTGTCGCGGCAGCTGTAAAGCTTATCTAAAGAAGTTTAAGCCTTACACCATAAACCAGACCATAAAACTTGAAGCACAGAACCCCCCATCATTCAGTGCCATGCTGAAGAGAACCAAAATCCCCGTCTCCAGCCATCTCCGGCTAAAGAGTTGCTCCATGAGTTTCACAGAATTCGGCACTATGGACCTATGGTAGCCCTTGTAGTAATTACCCTTAACGTAGCCAAAGAATACCCTTATGGCACCCGCTACTCGGTAATTAGGTGTGTTCGAAACCCTACGGTTTCAAGAGGGACGCCGATGCTGAGTCCTGCACCAGGACACCCATGACCACCTTGAAGATCTCAAGCTGCACCTGAGAGGGTTCAGGGTTTAGGGTTTAAAATTCTGGAGAGATTGCGGCTGTAGGTGTCGAGGTTTTTTCTAGAGCTGTGAATCTTGGGCGGTGCCATTGCTTGGAAGTCCCCATATACTTCGCTTTCTGACAGTATCGAATAAGGGGGAGGAGCCCTTAACCCCTCAACCGCACCCCTCAAGCCCAAATTCTAAAAACACGCATACAAAAGCACCTCCCAGGCGAATTCCAAGGCGAGGAAGGCCTGCCCAGACTTTTTGGGCGATGGGGTTGGATGAACCGTAAGCCCAAATTACCTATCTTTTTATATATGGACTTATACCATGCTGAGGAACCCTAAACCCTAAAACCCCAGCTCCTATACCCTAAACCCTCAACCCTAATAAGTTAGACCAGGTGGGGATTATGAGGGTCCCGGAAGGGTTTAGGGACTAGGTCCTGACAGGTTCATAGGTTTGAACGCTTTTTGGGTTGACAATGTGAAGTGCATTGGGGCTTGCAGGTACAGAGTGTATAGGGCTTTAGGATTTGGGCTTAGAGGTGTAGGGTTTATAAGGTGTATCATGATTATTGCTACAACTTTTGCTTTCCCAGCACATGCCTTCAACTCCAGTTTAGCAGGGTTACCACGAGAGTTCTCGATGTGGAGTCCGACCGCCATAAACATTGCAAACAGCAGCAACCAGAAACCAGGACACAGAAGCTCGACCGCCGTAAACATTGCAAACGCCAGCAAGCCAGAACCCAAGACACAAGAGTCCGACAACCGTAAACATTGCAAAGACCAGCAAACCAGAACCCAAGACACAGGAGGCCGACCGCCAGAAAACATTGCAAAGAGCTGCAAACCAGAACCCAGGACACAGGAGGCCGACCGCCGTAAGCATTGCAAACAGCAGCAAACCAGAACCCAGGACACAGGAGTCCGACCGCCACAAACATTGCAAACAGCAGCAAACCAGAGCCCAGGACACAGCAGACCGACCGCCATAAACATTGCAAAACGCAGCAAACAAGAACCCAGGACACAAGAGTCCGACCGCCGTAAGCATTGCAAACAGCAGCAAAGCCAGAATTGCAAACAGCAGCAAACAACAACCAAACACAAAGGAATCCGACTGCCGTAAACATTGCAAACAGCAGCAAAACCAGAACCCATTGCAAACAGCAGCAAACCAGAACCCGGGACACAGCATTCCGACCGCCGTAAACATTGCAAACAGCAGCAAGACCAGAACCCAGGACACAGCAGTCCGACCGCCACAAAACATTACGAACAGCAGCAAACCAGAACCCAGGACACAAGAGTCCGACCGCCGTAAACATTGCAAACCGCAGCAAAACCAGAACCCAGGACACAGCAGTCCGACCGCCACAAAACACTGCCAGCCGCTGCAAAACCAGAACCCACGACACAAGAGTCCGACCTCCATAACCATTGCAAACAGCAGCAAAACCAGAACCCAGGACACAGCAGTCCGACCGCCACAAAACATTGCAAGCGGCAGCAAACCAGAACCCAGAACACAAGAGTCCGCCGTAAACATTGCAAACGGCAGCTAAGCCAGAACCCCGACCGCCGTAAGCATATTGCAAACAGCAGCAAGACCAGAACCCAGGACACAGCAGTCCGACCGCCACAAAACATTGCAACCTGCAGCAAACCAGAACCCGGGACACAAGAGTCCGACCGCCGTAAGCATTGCAAACAGCAGCAAGACCAGAACCCAGGACACAGCAGTCTGACCGCCACAAAATGTTGGAAGCAGCAGCAAACCGGAACCCCGGACACAAGAGGCCGACCGCTACAAAACACTGCCGGCCGCAGCAAAGCAGAACCAAGGACACAAGAGTCCGACTGCCGTAAACATTGCAAACAGCAGCAAAACCAGAACCCAGGACACAAGAGTCCGACGGCCACAAAACACTGCCAGCCGCAGCAAACCAGAACCCAGGACACAAGAGTCCGACCGCCGTAAACATTGCAAAGAGCAGCAAAACCAGAACCCAGGACACAGCAGCCCGACCGCCACAAAACATTGGAAGCAGCAGCAAACCAGAACCCAGGACACAAGAGTCCGACCGCCGTAAACATTGCAAGCAGCAGCAAAACCAGAACCCAGGACACAGGAGGCCGACCGCCACAAAACATTGGAAGCAGCAGCAAACCAGAACCCAGGACACAAGAGTCCGACCGCCGTAAACATTGCAAGCAGCAGCAAAACCAGAACCCTGGACACAGCAGCCCGACCGCCACAAAACATTGGAAGCAGCAGCAAAACCAGAACCCAAGACACAGGAGGCCGACCGCCACAAAACATTGCAACCTGCAGCAAACCAGAACCCGGGACACAAGAGTCCGACCGCCGTAAGCATTGCAAACAGCAGCAAGACCAGAACCCAGGACACAGCGGTCCGACGCAAGTTCTAGGCCTTGACTAAGCCTCTAGTTTGCGGTAAAGTAATACGTCGCCCCTACTAAGCTTCCACTTGGAGAAAAGAAGTACTGCTCTAAGCCTCTACTGGGCCTCTAGTTGCCGTAAAGTGGTAAGTTGGAAGCTTCTACTAAGCTTCAAATTGCAGCACAGTACCAAGTTCTGAACCTTTACGAAGCTTTTCATTAAGTTCCAAGCCTCTACTAAGCTTCTGGTGGCGGTAAAGGAATAAGTTCTAAAAGCCTCTACCAAGCTTCAAAACGCAGTAAAGCAGCAAGCTCTATGCAACTATTCGGATGCTAATAAAGAAGCTACTCAAATAAAAAATAGAGAGGGAAGGAGGGCTACTCAAATAAATAATAGGGAGGGACGGACGGACGGACGGACGGAGGGAGGGAGGGAGGGAGGGAGGGAGGGAGACCTCGGCTCGGCCCCTTTCCGAACGTAAGGGAATAAGGCCCTGTGTATCCCTGAAAACCCTTATAGAATTCATGTGACCCCTCAGAAAGCCCAGGTCACAAGTTTTAGGGTTTAGGGTTTATAGGTTTAGGGTCTGTTAGACGGGCTTATAGAACGGGGCATCTGGCTTTGTTGGGAGCGTGTCACCGGCCTCTTTCACTTCGGCGAAGCAGCGCGCGTCGTCGATGTGCGGGGCATGGAATTGAGAGCCGCGGAGGTAGCTGTAGGCCTGATGACTAAGACCCTCCCCTTTATAGATATCATAGTAGGAATCCTACCATTAGGGCTCCTGGTGAAAGAGGATTTATTTTACGGTTGTCGTCGACATTAGGGACTTAGGCATGTGGGTTCGGATTTAGGATTTAGGGTTTGGGGGAAAGGTTTGTGTTGGTCTTACTTGGTGGGTTTTAGCTACTGGCGTCTTAACGGTTGTGTGACAGATATGGGGCTGGCACAAGCAGGCTTGCAGGCCAGCAACCCGTCTGCCTACAGACTGTACGTATATGCAGATGCATGTTCAGTTTTTATGTGGGTAGTTCTCTAAATTAGGGTGCCTTTTCGGGTCCCCAATATAGTACGGCACCCTCATAACAGGAACCCCCAAAGGGACCCTAAACCCTAAACCCTAAACCCTAAACCCATGTGTTGGTTGCTTAGGCCCCTCCAGCGGCACAAAAGGGTCCGGCCTCCGGCGGCTGTATGTCAAGGGCTTTCAGGTCCTCCTCGTCGCGAGCTTGCAGCAACTGGAAGAAGATGTGGTAGTTTCGCTCCTGAAGCAAGAATCTTTTTAAGGTATTAAAGGCAAGTGCCTGTCCGAGAAGTTACTTAGCACCACAGTGTGTCTTTCGTGTTGCTGCCTGTGCCCGCTGTGATGGTGCAGTATTTGGCTCTGCTGTCTCATGACTGCTGCAGGTATACAGGATTCTGTAAAAGAAGCCAGAAGGGGAAGCTTGAAACAAAAACCCACACATTTGCATGACCGCTGTTTCTATCATTCCAACAGGTATATCCTGGTCGGTTTACAGGGAAATCGGCGTTGTCGTTCGCTGTTGCTCTTAACGTTTTAGAAGACGACCCACCTTGTCAACCTGAGGCAGGGTTTTGCTCTGAAGCCCGGTAGCATGTTCACCATCCCTCATATCAAGATCGGTGTCGGGCACTGTCTTTGTTACTATAATTCGACATTATCGGCGGTAATCATCGCCATCATCATCAGCAGCATCAGCAGCCGTCATCATCACCAACCACCACCCTCGTCATCATTGTTGTACACAAGTCATCATTGCGATCATCGCCATCATCACGTTCATCATCATCATCGTCATCATCGTCATCAGCATCACCATCAGCACTGTAATCAGGTTTCTCGTCAAGTCGTCGTCCTGAATGTTGCCGTCGTAGCTGTCACAGTCTCCTCTTCTCGTCCGCCTCCTCCCGCCTTGCCCTCGTCGGTGCCACACACTGATTTGTGCCGACGAGGACGACGGCGCTGTCGTGAAAAATCATCTGATCGTCTGCAACGGCTGTGAACTGGTGCTGAACATGCTGCGCACTTTTCGCAGTCGAACGGTAGAAGCAAGCATGGATGTGCTGCAATTCGCTGCATTCTTCAGTGCGTGGGGGTCGTGACACGAACGTACATCGATTCTTTGGGCTCTTACACGACTCCAAATACCTTCACCAAGCACCAACTGCTACTTGCGACTGCTGCCGCTGCGGCCGCGGCTGCTGCTGCTACTGCTACATCCACCCTTAATCCGGCGCATCTCTCAGCCGTCCAAGATCCAACTGCCCAAAGCTGGTGATGAGCCACCGAAAACCCCGAAATCCGAGGCTCAGCCCTGAACCGATCTGGACCCAGAGAGCCCAATACCCCTTAATTAAGCAATATACCTTAAAGCATAACATTCTGGCCCCTATAGTTTAAGGTCTATTCCTTAATTAAGGGGTATTGGGTTCTCTGGGGAGCATAAGGCCACCGAGGGAGCAGGTTCTCCATGGAGCTCACAGTATGCTAAGTTGGAGGGTAACTGGGCTAGCCAACCTAGAATCCTAAACCCTAAACCCTAAATCCTAAACCCTAAACCCTAAACCCTAAACCCAACCTAGACTCGCATTCGCCTCTGAAGTCCCCAGACTCACCAGCAACCAGAAACCTAAACCCCAATGGGCCACAATTAAACCCCAAACCCTTTAGGGTTTGGGGTTTAGGGTTTAGGGTTTGGGGTTTAGGGTTTAGGGTTTGGGGTTTAGGGTTTAGGGTTTAGGGTTTAGGGTTTGGGGTTTAGGGTTTAGGGTTCTAAGCCCCAAACCCTTCAAACCTTAAACCCTAAACCCCAAACCGCAGGCTTTGTGCATAAGGACTCATGGGTCCTTCTCCCCGCGGCTGCAGACCCGGGTCACCTCGAGGAGATAATCTGTCACAGAACCTGAGCCCGAGGCTTCTTAGGGTTTAAGGTTTAGGGTCTTAGGGTTTAGGGTCTTAAGGTTTAGGGTTTAGGGTTTAGGGGTTTTGGGTTTAAGGGTTTAGGGTTTAGGGTCTTAGGGTTTAAGGTTTAGGGTTTAGGCAGAACCTGCAAGTAACGCCCAACCCCAATACCTGAAGGAAATAACAGTGAAGCAGAATCACTGGACGCAACGGCACGCGTTATTCGGACCATTCTAACGGAGAGGTTGTGTCACCCCGTTGTCATCACTGGATGCCAAGCACCTGAACCGTAAAATTGACCCATGAATTTCGGATATGGGTTATCCGAGGCTGGTCAGTTTCCTTCAAGGTTCTGAGTAGCCACGGTTACTCTAGCACAACCGACTTTCTGATCGAATCATCAATCCCACTGTGCTGAAAGCCCTTAGTTATAGCCCACGTGGACGGCACAGCTCTCGCCTTCGCTCTTGCAGCTGCAGACGAGGAGCAGCCCTGGATCGACATGTTGGGTGAGATCATCATCTGCGTCCTTCAGAGCTGGAGCTTAGCTTTCAGGGAACTTCACGGTATTGGGGCGTCTGGGGGATCAGTGATTTAGGGCTTAGGGGTTTAAGGGTGTAGGGTTTAGGGGTTTGGCGATTATGGGTTTTGGGTTTAGGGGTTTAAGGGTGTAGGGTTTATGGGCAGTGTAATTACTCTGCTTCAGGGTTTCGGGTATTTCTGTTTGCACCTTCCCCCAAAAAATGCTTACCTTCGAAGCAGTCAAGTCAAGCGTCCACTTGCCGAAGCGCGAGGAGTTGTTGTTTCTGACCTGCGCAACGGGCCGAACCCACGAACAGTCGAAGACAGGAACTGTGGGGATGGGTTGGGGACTGACCTGTCTTCAAATGGGTAGCTCTCTGAATGAGGATCCCTTTTGGAGTGATTTCTATAAGAGTGCCATGCTATATTGGGGACCTGAAAAGGGATCCGACTTTAGAGAACTACCCAAATCCCTAAACCCTCAACCCTAAACCCTAAACCCTAAACCCTAAACCCTACTACCCAAATCAGGCTTCAGGTTGTGGGATGAAGAACCCCCAAGCCCCGGCCTCTAAAACCCGAAGTGCTTGAAGAGTTCAGCGGCTTTGGGGTTCAGAGTTTTAAGTCTCTTGTCGAGTCCTTAGGTGTAGGGTTTAGGGTTTAGGGTTTAGGGTTTGGGGGTTTAGGGTTTTAGGGTTTGGGGTTTAGGGGTTTTGGGTTTAAAGGTTTAGGGTTTAGTTTAGGGGTCTTGGGTTTAAGCGTTTAGGGTTCAGGGTGGCTTGTGCCGAGGCCCTCACCGTCATGGCATTGCCGAAAGCCTCCAGGATTGGGTTGGTCTGGATGATCTTGTCCTGGTCGAGGGCTTGCGGGTTTTTAGGGTTTTGGTACAGGGTTTAGGCTTTAGGGCTTTGGGGTTTTAGGGTTTGAGGGTTTAGGGCTTTAGGGTCTTAGGGTCTTGGGTTTTGGGTTTGGGCATACAGGTCTTTACAGGGCTTTATGAGTTTATAGGGGCTTCGCGACTTTATCTAGAGCCTAAGGGTTGTGAAAGGTTGTAGCCACTTGTCACGCCTGGTTCCACAAGATCTTATATAGGGCTTTACGACTTTAGTAGGTCCTTTTGTCGAGCCAGTGAAGTATCAGAGGACCTCGTTGGTGACTGGAAGTAGTGTCCAAATTGCTTTGCCGTAATCATAGAAAAGCGAAGCTGCATGACACGCACGACAGGGGAACATGCAAGGGGATAGTAGCAAAGGCAGCCAGCCCTCCTCACCGAAAGTGTCAGTTGATTCTTCATCGCCCTGCGTCCGCCAGTGTTCCGCAAACCCTGAACTGCACACACTTGGTAACAGATATGCCGCAAACCTCGCCCAAATTCTACCGATCTCTTACCGGGCGCGGGGATCCAATGCTTGGTACAGGGTTTACTAAACTACGGGTTTCTTAGCGGGATACACGGCTTTGAGGTTTTTGGTTGTAGCTTAGGCAGTTTACGCGACCCTTGAACCCAAAGCCAAAACCCTGAACTCTAGACCCCTGAAGGCAGAGGCTAACACCCGAACACTAGACCCCTCTCTTCAGCCTCTCTTCCCTCTCTTCCGAGTCCTGGATGCTTGGCATCTTGGGATCTATAACGGAATATCCTCGGCTGGTGGAAAGGCTTCACAGTTTAGACTTAGGAGATTTACCTTAACCTACCAAAACCTACTTTGTTGTAGGGTCCCTATGAATTCCATATTAGGGTGTATCAGAGGAACCTACAAAAAAGTCGGTTTTGGTAGGCTAAGGTAGGACTTGAGGAAGCAGACTCCAGGTTTGGGCTTGCGATACTTGGCTCAGGGTTTAGCGTTTAAGGTTTAGGCCGATGGTTTCTGGAAAGAGCCAACTGGCAACAGCAAAAGGACTACGGACGGATGGCCCTGAACATTTTAGCCAATGGCGGGAACATGGGAGCTTTAGAAAATGAGGGGTCGTAGTCTGAAACATGAGACCAATAATGACGTAAGAACGTTGCAGAAGTGAAAACATCTACAAACCTATCCACGTATCCATCTATCCCTGACTTTGTCTCTGTCTATCCCGGAAATCTACACCTGAATAGTTGCAACAGAAGTAGAAACACACGTTCCCCTAACACAAGCACAGTGAACCTCTACAGCAACCCAAATTAAAGGAAGCTACAGGTGGGTAGTTTAGGGTATATAGGGCTTCTACAAGGCTTCCATAAGGAATATAGACCTTCTACAAGGCTCCTATGACGGTAACTACCAGTACCCACCTGAAAATGTCCTAGACTACAGCTTCGACCTTTCCTCTGGCCAGGCAACGGCTTTGCCGGCGCTTCATTGCGTCCGCGCCTCTGGGCAAGGGGAGTTTCAGGGGCGGGGGTGGCTTGCTGGCACAAGAAAGGCCTTAAGCCTGGGAGCCCTAAACCCTAAACCCTAAAAAGCCTAACACCCCAAAACCCTAAAAGCCCTAAACCCCCAAACCCTAAAAACCCTAAAAACCCTAAAAACCTTAAACCCTAAAACCGCTAAACCCCACCAAACCTAAAAAGCACTAAATCCCAAAACCCTAAAACCCCTAAACCCTAAAACCCTAAAACACCCGAAAAGCTGAAGCCCCAAAGCCTTGAATCTAAGTCCCCGCCCCAAGCGCCTTCTAAAGCCCATCTTTGGGTTTGGGGTTAGGTTTTGGGGTTTAATTTTAGGGTTTGGGGTTTAGAGTTTAGGGTTTGGGATTTATTCATCAGCAGAATCCGCATCGAGCAGTCTCTAGTCGAGCTCGCTATTTCGATCCTAGAAAAATACCCACGCACCCAGGAACCCGCAATTGAGAAACCACGTTTTCTATTAGTCCTAGAGCTTGGACCCTAAACCCTAAAACCTACATCCTGAACCCGAGAGCTTAAACTGTACACCCAACCCTGCGAATTCTAGCCGCACTTTAATCCTACGATACAACCCCAGCATATCCCCTACACCCTATGATGCGAACCCTAGGCCTTGAACGTCGACCCTGAACCCGGGCCCTGAACCTTCAGCCCTAAACCCCAAGTGAAGGAGACTACAGGTGGGGAGTTTAGGGGATATAGGGCTTCTATGAGGCTTCCATAAAAGAATATAGACCTGCTATAAGGCTCCTATAATGGTAACTACCCACCTGGGTCAGAAAATGTCCTAGAACCTATCAAACCCTAAACCCTAATCCCTAAACATTAAACCCTTACTCTTTGGCCTTCGTGTTTCCTGAAAATGTCCTAGACGAAGCCCTGAGCCCTAAACCCCGAACCTCAAGCCTGAACCCTGCGAGCTGAACCCTAAACCCTGAACCCTAGACCCTGCATCTTCGGTTTGGGGTTTAGGGTTTAGGGTTTAGGCCCTGAGCCCTAGGCCTTCAACCCTAAACCCTGGACAAAAAGCCATGTTCAACGAAGACAAAAACCCATATTCAACGAAGGGCCGGCCTTAGTTAAAAGTTAGGGTTTAGGGTTTAGGGTTCTTCGTTGAATTTGGCGACGCCTTCTCGAGTTCGGCGAAGAAAATCCTATTCAACGAAGAAAAAAATCTTGTTCAGGGAATGGGCCGGCCGTCGTTGAATATAACTTTTTTCGTGGAACTTGACGAAGAAAAATGTCATATTTCAATGAAGACAGAAACTCATATTCAGCGAATGGGACGGACTTCGTTGAATATGACTTTTTCCTCGTTGAATATGACTGTTTCTTCATTGAATTTGATTCATAACACCAGAAAACCCTCTTCGACGCATGAATTAAGGTTCAAAGACATATGATAAATAGGGTTTAGGTTTCGGGTTCAGGGTTTTGGGGCTTAGAGTTCAGGGTTTAGGGCTCATAGAGTTTGGGGTTTAGGGTTGAAAGTGTTTAGGGCTTAGAGTCTAGGGTTTCTGGCTCAGCTCTAAAGCCCTCAAACCCCGGAACTAGGCTTTGGGAGTTTAGGGCTTCGGGTCTTTTTAGGGTTTAGGGTTTTGGGCTCTTAGGGTTTAGGGTTTAGGGGTGTAGGGTTTAGGGGTTTAGGGGTTTAGGGTTTAGGGTCGAGGAGAGAGTCCTGGGGTAATTCGCAGGGCTGGGGATTTGGCAGTGGGAGGGCGGAGAGGGCGTGGGGAAGAGTCGGCTCCTTGACATCAGTGGGTAAACTGCTGAGGGATCTTTAGGGTTTAGGGTTAGGGATTCTTACCATAAGGATTATATCTTTTTTGCCCACATCTATTTTCTAATTGAGGGCTGAGAGAGAGGTAGGTCCATTGTCAAGGCCGTGTACGTGTGTAGCGAAGATGCCCGATGTTGCATGCAAAGCCTCAGTTTGTCGCTTGTCGGGGGGCAGGGGTGCGTAGGGTTTCGGAGTCTAGCCCTAAACCCTAAACCCTAAACCCCTAAACCCCTAAACCGTAAACCCTAAACCCATAAACCCTAAACCCTAAACCCTCCCAGACTTTGGAAAGCCCAGACGCTTCCTGGCTCTGGGGCGATGGAGTAGCGCGGCCTGCTGTCCTGCAGAGTCTCGGAGGCTAATGTAGGGAATGTAGGGGCCTTAATAATTAGAATAGGGTTTTGGGGCCCGTAATACTACATAATAATAAGGAACCCCCAAAACAATATTGGTAATTATTTTTTTTAGTGCACTAGCCCCTCTTTCTCTACCAATTATTTAGGCCCCGTATGTGAAGGATGTTATAAGGCTGTGCCATAAGCTGGCGAAGCGTCTGCTGCGCCCTTGGGGTCTTTTTGTGTCCATGACGCGCCACTAAACCCTAAACCGCCCTTGCAGAAAAATCAGGGGACCCGACAGCAAGTGTCCAGCATCTGCATAGCACAAAAAGGCCCTAAACCCTAAACCCCGAAACCCCTGAACCCTAAACCCTAAAGGCTACAGCATCTATCTAATAGTGGTTGGGCTCGGACCATAAAATAGACACAAAGCAAGAGGGACGGAGAAGGAAAGACCGCCAGAGAAGGCTGGGGAGACAGAGCTGGAGAGAGAAAACCGCGAGAGCGGGACAGAGAACTAACTACTACGACGAATAGCAAGAGAAGACGACAAACGAGATGGGACATCGAGACTGACACAAGGATCTGATACTTTCAGAGGCATGCTTGTGCATTAGTAATAGTAGGCCTTCCCCGGCCCTCAGAACTACCATGTTCGGCTATTCAGCTCACGTGATTCAGGGTTGAGGGCTCTTCTTGATGATGTGTCAACATCAGCAACTGGGTGGGTAAAACATGCTGGAACAAGAGCCACAACTGCAACTGAAACCCTCTCCCGTCGCTGCATGTGCCGCGAGCTGCCCAGGGCCTGTTCGCGAACAATGTAAAGCTGAGGTGTTTCGGACCTCGACAGATTTCAAGAACTCTAATATAGGGGCCTTAATAAATAGAATAGGGTTTTGGTGCCCATTATACTAGAATTTTTGTTCAAGGAACCCCGAAAATAGTCTTGGTACTTGTTTAGGCCCCTCCATTACGCAAGCATTCAACGGTCTGGTTTGCTTTCGGTTTCAATGGCTTTGGCTTAGGACCCGGGTTAGAGCTTGTTGCTGCAGCTCTTTTTATCGCGGGTCGTGGTTCCCTTGTTGCAGCCCCCAAATAATGTACGTAGGGCCCTAAATAATTGCCAATACTACTTTGAGGGTTCCTTATTATGATTATAGTGTAATGGGTCCCGAAATTCTAATGATTAAGGCCCCTATATTAGAGTAGGTTTTGGAACCACAAACCCTAAACCCGAAACCCCTAAACCCTATTCTAATGATTAAGGCCCCTATATTAGCCAGGACCAGGGGGCAGATCTATTTTCGATTGAAGGGGAGATGCGCTTTGGGGGGCTTCGCGATCCAAGGCCTTCTAAAACCAACCTCGTTTAGGGTTTAGGGCTTAGGGTTTAGGGTTTGGGGTTTAGGGTCTTACACCCGAAGTCTTAATGAAGCCGATCTGCCGAACATTTAGCAAGTTTAACTGGGCTAGCAGCTGCAATAGCAGTGGTGCACATGCAACGGTACTTGGCTACTACAGTACTAACGACAATATGAATAGCAGTGGTAATTACTGCTGACACCAATCAAACAGTTCTCCATACCCATCACGCCGGAAACAGCTTGAAACAACCAAATGAACAACATGTCGGCAGCAGCATTTGCGTCGGCATCATCATCAGCATCATTATCATCGCCATCATCATCATCATCGTCATCATCGTCATCATCATCACCGTCATCATCATCATCATCATCATCATCATCACCAGCTTCGCCTTAGCCTCTTTATTCTCATCATGGTCGTCGCATCGTCATATTATGGAATTTGAACAGGGCTGCATGCTGGTGATAGTAGGTAGTAGGCGAATTTCGAAGAATGCCCTCGTCGTCGTAAACTGCTCCGACCAGTCATGCTGGACAAATCACCTGGATCTTCGTTGTTTGGTAATCATCCACCTAACGTATGTAGGTGGTCGTACATGCTCCCATTGTTTTCTCGAAGCTTCTGATTCTTTGTGGCCTTTCGCACTTGCGGCTTGCACTTTGCTTGAGCTTGGTGAATCATGACAGCAGCTGCATCTTGCATCTTCTAGCCATGCTAGCCTTGGGTCGAGGATTTGGAAGGGGAGTTAAGGTTTAGAAGTGGGCTTCAAGGGTTAAGCGACAAAAGCCCCAGCCCTCACACGAGAATATTCCTGAAGCACAAGTTCCTGAGGATCTTCGATATGGGAGTTTCAGAAAGTTAGCTAGGGGTACCTTATTTTGGGGTTCTTATAATCGGAATCCTATCATTTAGGGTACTATATTAGGGTCCCCTATTTTCGGAAACCCCCATATGTCAGGAATATTCCTTCCTGGGCTTTCCCAAGCTCCGGTATGCCTCAGAGATGTACGACATGATGAGCTTCGCGGACTCCGTCTTTCCGGCACCGGACTCTCCACTAATGAGGACAACCTGGCTGGGTTTAGGGCTTAGGGTTTTAGGGTTTAGGGTTTAGGGTTCAGGGGGACTCAGCCGTGGACTGTAAGAGCCGTTCAACCCTGAGCGTGTAACCGTAAGCCAACCTAGACGCCGCAAATGCCGAAGACACTGAAACATGATATAATAGAATGCACACTAACATGTAACCCAAATTCAGAACATTCCTAAGCCTAAACGCCCTAACCTCTGAAACCCTAAAACTACAATCCTAAAGCCCTGAACGCTGGAACAAAAAACAGAATCAAAATTCCCCACGCCCTAAAGCCCTACAAAGCCTCTACCCCTGAAGGGGGAGTCAGGATTAGGGGACCCTTGGGGATGTAGACCCTCTCAATAAGGTCCCGTTGAAGAGAGCCATAAGCAGGGCTAAGAAGGGTCCCCCCCCCCCAAGGGGTCTCCCTAACCCTAAACCCTAAACCCTAAACCCTAAACCCTAAACCCTAAACCCTAAACCCTTTAAGGGGGTCTCCCTAACACTTACTAGCATAAAGGCCTTCTAAAACCTCTGGCAGACGAACGAACTCCCGGCCCCCGCCTGGCTCTTACCCTTCTTCTGGCCCTGCAGGGCACGCAGGAGTGTGGTTTTGCGATATAGGATTTCAGGATTTTAAGGCTTTTTGGGACTTCAGACTTCTATGGGCTTTAGGGTTCAAAGTTTAAGGTTTCGGGTTTGGGGCTTTTCAAGTTGACAAGCCGGAGAGACGGAAAGGCGCAGTGAATCGGCCCGATGCCCATCCACGGAGCTTCAGGTAGGCGGAGAGTCAGAGACGGATGAAAGGAAGGTGAGTCAACGCGCAAATACAGACAGGGTTTAGAGTTTAGGGTTTAGGGTTTAGGGTTTGCAAATACAGACAGGGTTTAGAGTTTAGGGAGAGAGAGAGAGAGAGACCGAGACAAAAGGGAAAAATAAAAATAAAAAAACAGGCAAACACCACAACGATAATACAGGTAGCCGGAGTCTCCGGACCTTAACCCCAAGCACGACTTCTTACATACACCGTGCCGAGCCGCTCCACCTTAGCAAAAGATCCACACACCTTCCACCCTATACTTAATCGAAAATCCTGCTTGCACAATCTAACTGCTATTCAGCTTTTTAGGGTTTAGGGCTTAGGGGGTTTGGTGCTTAGAACTCAAAAACATTCAGGTGGTTTAGGGCTACAGAAGCCAATGCCCACAAACCCTAAACCCTAAGCGCCACAAGCTGGACGAACGGGGCCTTCACGGCATGCAGGCCCAAGCCGTAAACGTGGGGTGGCAAGTCCTGAGTATGCACGGGCTCAGGGTTTAGGGTTTAGGACTTCACAGCCCAAGAAAAGTGCAAGGCCAGGCGGCCATGGCGTCGGACGCTCCCGGAAGGTAGCGGAGAAGGTTCTCCTTGCCGGGCGGCGCGAGAAGAATTTATTGAAACCTCGCTTTTAGGGTTTAGGGTTTGGGGTTTAGGGTTTTGTACGGTGATGGTTCTTACTAGGAGGATGAGACCACAGAAATATAAAAATGGAACGGGCTCTCTCCTTGGAGTAGATTGGAAGCTCTTTGAAAGGATTCACCGCAATGAGCATCTTGGAGACCTGGGCTGAGACGGATCTCTTGGGAGTTAGGATTACGGGGGACTCTTGGGGATATAGACCCTCTCCATAAGGCCCCCTTTTAAGAGAGCCACACGTAGGCTTAAGAAGGGTACCCCTTTAAGGGGTCTCCCTAACCCTAAACCCTAAACCCTAAACCCTAGGCCCTAGGCCCTAAACCCTAAACCCTAAACCGGGTCTCCCTAATACTACCTATAAGGATCTTTAAGGTTCGAGTGAGGAGGAAACTCGTGTCGGAGGGCGGCCCTTGGAGGTTGACCTTCCGATAAGGGAATGTAGGGGCCTTAATACTTAGAATAGGGTTTAGGGTTTAGGGTTTAGGGTTTAGGGTTTTGGGTTTAGGGTTTAGGGTTTAGGGTTTAGGGTTGTGGGTTTGGGGGTATATTCTACTATAATTCCAATAAGGAATCCCCAAAATAGTATTGGTAATTAATGAAGCCCCTATATTAGTTGCATACATAATTAAGTGGCTACTAGACCATGCTTACACAGGCTTTCAGTTGTAGGGTTTGGTGTTTAAGGTTGGTGTTGAGGGTTTTAGGATTGGGGGGTTGAAGGTTTAAGCTTCGCAGTGCATGGAAGAGCAAGCTACGCACCGGAGGTGTAAACAATTCTCAGCAGTGTCCTGTTATAGTGCGCATGTTCTTGCACCTCAGTTATGATACACCAAACCCTGTTCCAAGTATTCTAATTTTTACCCTTAACCCTAAACCCCAAATCCTAGACCTTAAACCCGAAACCCGAAACCCAAAAAACCTAAACCCTAAACCCCAAAACCCTAAATCCTAAACCCCAAAACCCGAAACCCCTGAATCTCCTAGCCTTTTTGGCCTTTTGTGGGCTCTGAGGCGGCTGCGAAGGTGTAGATGTCCGACCGCTTGTATCTGGTGCGCACGCTGTGCAGCACCGCGGCGTTGTCAACCACCACGAGCCTTGCGGGGAAAGCACAACGTAAGACGATCATTAGGGTTTATGGTTTAGGGTTTATCGTCAGACGATCATTAGTTTATTACGACTGTCAGCGGTACTAATATTCTTAATATTGGGGTTGCTATTAGCACTACTCATACTCTGATTATTTTCGCTGCGGTACGATCGGAGTTGTTATTGCTATTCTTGTTGGTATTATTCCTAGCTGTCACTGCTAAGGTGCTTACCTGGTCTTGGTATGATTATGGTTGCTACTGCTGCTGGAAGTACTGCAATTAGCAAAGTGTGAGTACAACTGCAATATGTACCATGATCTTCCTCATTGCATTATCGCCGTTGTATTACCACTTCCATGCTTACACTCCCCTTCTCTTGTTTGCTAAAACTCAAGGTCTGTGAACATCGTTGCATGCTGCTGGTGAGCAAGCACGTTGGTCTGTCTGCCAGCTTCGAAAAGACCTGGCATGCAGTTTTTTGGAGTATAGAGCTCATAAAGTTCCAAAGCCTTATCTTCAATAGCAACTTCACGAATATCTAGTCTAGACCAACTCCCAAAGTTTCTATCTCTCCCTCTCTCTCTCTCTCACTCTGATGTCCTCTAACACACACACACAGCTGTGGCCTGATCCAGTCAGAGCAACCTCCTACGAATCTAGGCGGCGCAACGGAAACATCTGCATTGCACCACATCCTCGACCCCAAACCGAAATCCTCCACCAGTACACAACCCAAGCCCTAGAGCCACGAGACTCTTCTAGCAATCCCTAAACTCTAAACCCTTAACCCTTGTGCCGAAAATAGAGCCGACAACAATAGCCCCTTATTATGGCCCCACCTATACTTATATGGGGGTTTCCCCAAATAGGGGACCCTAATATAATACCCTAAATAATAGGATCCTTATTATAAGGACCCAAAATAAGGTACCCCCTATTTTCGGCAAGTCCCATATTATAGCCTTATAGCCTAAACCCTAAACCCTAAACCCTAACCCCTAAACCCTACTTGTAGCTTCTTCAGACGCAGCGCTCGCAGATGTTTCCCACTCCAGCCAGCTGCGCATCGTGGACTTTCGGCAGCTCGCCCAGCGAGCTGGCCTCGCCCAGGGGTGTCGTTTTTTCCTTCCCACTGCATGTCAATAGGGTTTAGGGTTTAGGGTTTAGGGTTTAGGGTTTAGGGTTTAGGGTCTTCCCACTGCATGTAAAGTCCAGTACGAGTCTTCTGCGAGCTTTATTGCGGTTTTACGCGTGTTATCTGGTTTCAAAGGGCTAACAGGGGTTGACAAAACTGGGTGGGGCAGGGGGTATCGGGGCTCCCTCGCAACTAGGTTTTCTGGGTCAAGGTGTGTGTTCATATGCTGTTGTAGCAATAGGAACTGCCCCTAAGCCCTAAACCCCCAACCCAAAACCCTAAGCCCTAAGATGCTCCTCCACTCGCAGATCCGTAAACTCTGATAGGACCATGGTTCGGGCTTCAAGCCTCCAGTTGCCAAAGTAACATACCTTCCTTATGATTTGCCCCCGCACCTAAACCCTAAACCCTGAACCCGGGAGCCTAGAGCCAAAACCCTGAACCCTAAACCCTAAAGCCGAAGCCCTCTACAGAACCAGAACCCCGGCAAAAGTAAGCTTAGGGCCTCAGGGGTTCGGGCTGAAGCGCTCAACCACCCGCCCCCAATTCCCAAACCCGATGGGGTTTAGGGTTTAGGTTCAGGCTTNNTTTAGGGTTTAGGGTTGAGGTAGCCTATAGAGCCAGTAGTAAAGCCTTCAACCTGCATGACTGCACGAAGCGAAATCCGGAACCCGGAAACCTCAACACTCCATCTGGAAAACCCACAACCCGAAACCACCGCAAACACCGACACCCCAAACCCAAACCCCTAAATCCC